CACAATAAGAAATACACAACTAACTGGTTGAGTAACTAAATAAAAGTAAATCAGTCGTAGTGGTTAGAGCAGACTAATGCCTGCTCAACCATAATTTAGTATTCTCACTATTCCGCCACGTGTCTCGATATGTTGGTGAGCATGACTACTCATGACGCTCAGCCACGTCGCAATTATTTAGAATTATTATGTGATGATTATTAAGGATAAATAACATTAAGAATGAGAACATCTTCTTTGAAGTATAGACCACGTCACCGCCAAAATTATTAGCAATAACGAAATTAATATCCTACAAAAACAAATAGAAGTGTTATAGAAATTGCTTAACCGTAACAACACCGTACCACAAACGGAATCTTAATGAAGTATATGTATCGGAATTCAATCCTGATAATCTCAGGCTTACAATAGAAAAATGGCGCCAGCAAGTAGATTCATTGATTGAATTGTGAGGTTGTTCTACAACTGAGTATGACTACATGATTATAATAATTAGTTACTTTAGATCAAACAAACAAAAAATGTTTGAATAACTAAATTAGATGAAATTCAGCTTTGAATTACTAAACAAAATATAAAATTAATTATACAAAGTCCAAAAAGTGGCTATTCCGTTTTATAGGTATTAATTAAAAAATAAATAAAAGGTTCTTCCCCTACCAGTGAAAAAAAAAATACAACCAAAAAGATAATTCAGTCAGCATAGCCGAACAAGCTTTTAAAAATAAAGAGATTTTTAACGATTTCGTTTTCTGTACGGATACCCAACGTAAAAAAAAAATGTAATAATAAAAGTACTTGAAAATGACAAATATAAAGAAATTTAAACAATATTAGAAAGCTGTTCACAACTCGTCCGTTCCGTTCACGGGCTGCTCGTATAATGCCTTTTTAATCAGTCTGTAAAAATCACGACGGAAGTGGCGGCGCCACTGTCATGTAAACTTTACGCTCTGCTTAATAAATTATATTAACGTAATAAAATATTACAAAAATGTTATCTTAAAAAAATAAGTAACAAATATTATGGCAAGTGTTAGTGATAGTTTCTACAGTTTGTGATAGTGCAAAATAAAGACCTATTTTGACGTGTAAGAAATTCAATCAATTGGACTGATACTGTTTTGTGTTAAAATCTTATCTGTAATCAAGATAAATTGAAATCACAACTGTACAATAGTTAAAACAAACAAAGTAAGTACTAGCTCATTATAACACATAATCTTCACTAACAGGCAAGACATTATGAACATTTAATTATAATAATCTCTTTAATGTGGGTGTGCGGATAATTGTAATCGATTCAAATATCCACTATTGTAACGTCATATATCGCTGTCTGACATAAACCGTTATAACACTTGAAATGACTTCGTAAATTAGAACAAAATATTGCAGTAGATCTGGTTCAACGGCAACGAGTCTGAATTTAAATAAGTATTCGCAGGATCAAATCCTAATAACACCTGACTTTTTGTGAAGCCAAAACAATTTATCTACAATATTGTGTGCATTGTTATTATTCTGTATAGTATCTGGGCTGCTTATTACGATATATACTAAACATATTACGAAGCTATATTCCGTGTTATCTTATCTACAAAGTTTAAACAGCAAAACTGTAGACTAATTAAATTGACAACATTTTAAATAATTACCACATGATATTACTCCACATGACTGCAGTCCCAGCCTACAAGAAAGACAAGGGAAAATTAAAATATATACCGTCTTATTACAAAAAGATAAACCTGGTTTAGCACTAGTAATAAGCCATTAACCAAAGTATTCCTTATTACAAAATGAAGTTTATTTCTAAACCGTGATTCGTCTATGGTCCAAAGTTAGACCTGCGATGCTCCTAGTTTAACAGTGGTCTAAATGAAAAAAAAAGACAAACTTCATTTTAAAAATACTATTTTTTCTGGTAAAACGGAACGCAATTGTAAGCTGATAGAAATTAGTGACAGATTTCTGTATATTACCTGTGGCGAATATATTATATAATGAACGATTTAATTGTAGTTCTAAGTAGTTCTCTGTTAGAACTGGATTCGTAATAATGTTAGGTTTATTCCAAGTATTAACTTTAGGAATGGTTTAAACCACGATAATTTAGACATGTTTCGTCAGTTTTGACAGATTTTTTTTGTGTAATAAGACCCATAATATCATTAAGAGGAATATTACACTTAAGGCTCAACTAGCAGAAATGTCTGGTTATTGTGAAAGAATTTGTTTAAAAAGGGATCGCCTACAAAAAAAAATCTTCAACGCATATGATCAATGCTCAAACACATATGAGGCTACATTAGAACAAATATCTTTCCTAGAAAATAGAGTGAAGCTCAAGATCAGATTTCTTTTGTCATATCGGAAAAACAAGTTCTTTTAGAGAAAAATACATGCCATTTATATAGCGAATTGATTAGCTGCAACAACATCACAGGATCATAGCTAAAACAATAGATTTAACCGCCACACCTAGCTGTTAATTCGATCAAGCGTAATTTTATGAGTAGTAATCAAACAAAGAAATGTCAAGCTAAACAAATTAAAAAAAAAAGAAAAAAAAAAGGATAATTTATTCAAGAAACATGAAGTAAAATTAAAATCTGTATCGTTCAGAGAACAAAAGTTAGAATAATAGCAGTCGATTTATGTAAAATAATAATTGAGAATCTGATTTAGAAATTGACAGAATCAAAATTAAAATCTTTACAGACACCGTTAGAATCTATGACATGTAAATAAACAGGACATTATATTAATACACGATACAGACTTGCATGTCTAGTGTGTGGTTCGCCGTAATGTGTATTGAATGTAAAAGTGTTTTATTGGCCAATAAAAAGTTATTATTATTATTATTATTATTATAGCTTGTATACACGCACTCACAAATATTATTGAGCAGGGTGTAGGTAGAATAATAATATCTTCTTTGCTTATATTAATGCATTGCAACAGTAAAATGATAAAATATTGAAACTTTATTTATGATGGTACAATTTGTCAGTGCATAGTGAAAAACTGTTATTTTTTTTTTTTGACACAAATAAAATAAATAAAAGTAAAGCTAAACGTGATGTTTGTAATATACACGGCTTAATATGGATAAATATAACTTTCTTCTAAAAATTGTACAGATATAATTTATAGATGCAAATTATTTAATTTCTATTGACTTGAAAGTACCTGTAAGGGCCTACTTATAAAAATAAATATTTGAATTTGAGTCACCGGTCATAGGCCGCCATCTTATGCCAAACTACCCTCGAAGGAACAGAAGTGACATCATCAGAAACACAATACGATGACGCAGACGCACATGAAGACATGAAGTCGATCCTGAGTCCAAACATGACAGAACCATGATAACCGTGATAGCTGTACTGAAGAAAATGAGCAATGTATAATGAAGCCACTTGTCTGTACGGGTGTAAAAACTCAGTCTGACAATTGGGCTCAACGTTTTGCTATTATTATTACAATTACAATAAAAGTCACTTGTCTGTACGAGGGTAAACACTGTCTGACAACTGGGCTCAACTTTTTGCTATTATTATTACAATTATAAAAAAGTCACTTGTCTGTACGGGTGTAAACACTCAGTCTGACAACTGGGCCAACATTTCTATTTTAAGTTTTGCTTCAATAATAGAATTATAACATTATTTCTGTTACAGATTAAGATGTTCGCATGCTCAGAGCACGAGCAGCTCATCAGGATAGCCGTGATAGCGCAAGTGCAATACAATTACTATTTTCATTGTTAATTGATTAATTTAATTATATGCGGCATATATTGATCGAGTCACTGTTATTTAATATCTAACATAATGAAGTATTAAAGTTAAGGATTATTATAAATATTGTAAATAGCGCCATCTAGTATTTATAGACCGAACTAAGTTGTTTGTCATAAGATAACCGTTACCCCCGCTTCTATCAAAACTACACAGACTACGGTCTATAAATACGGAGGTCGGTAGTTGAATAGTCCTCTTTCTTTGGGTGAGCCGCGGCATTTGGTCGGCGAGCGCGGGGCTTGCCGGTTGTTTTGGATATTGAAGTGAATTGTATTAGAAATGGGTTTATCTCGGTCTTAGTTGGGCCTGGGGGGAAACCTGCAAGTAGTGAATTATATTATAAATAGTGCATTCTAAAAGGGCCTTTTAAACCTACACCCGTGTCACAAGTCACGGGCGCTACTTAGGGTTTCCCTTGCGGTAGCCGGCTTCAAAGCCTAAATCCTCATCATTAATTATTGCTTCTTACAATCGTAACGATGAGTCGTCTGGTATCAATACACGCTCTTACATATATAACCCTTATTCAAATATTGGGAAATTATTTCCCACTTGACAGTACCGTAATATTTCTTTATTATTTCTTTACTGGTAACTCTAATCAGTACCAATCCAGGAACAAAATAATTTTACACACTTTTTAAATATTTTACTTGGCAACATTTCGGACAAAATTGCGTAATGTCATCGTATGTCAATGTCAAAGTCACAATTTGAATTTTTTGGTGCACAAAACCGGTTCTCGCAGGACTTTCGAAAATTTTTGTAGAAAAAAAATCTGGTAAGTACATAAACAATATATTGATGTAAACTAGACTTATTTTCTGAATGCTTTTTACGGTTTCTGTGCTTTTTGCACTGATATTTCTTGGATTTTATTAGGTTTAATTAGGTGGGAAATAATTTCCCAATGTTCGTTCCTGCTTTGATAAACATCAGTGTCTTTATATATATATAAAATTGTTTGTCAACTGTAATAATAACGGTATAGGAACTTGTAATACGATAGCGAGTAAGTCAAATTAGTGGCTTTTTGCAAAATTGTGACTGCGTTTATGTGATTTCTATGCTTTATTCCAAACGAAGCCACTTATAAGTTTTAGGACTTTTGTAACTATTTGTGCAATATGCTGATAAAACTACATAATTGCCAACTTTTTATAATTTACTTTCAGCTATTCAAATATGGACGCAAGAAAGGAACGTAAAGTGCTCGCCAAGAAACTATTAGAAGAGGTGGTACAAAATTTAGACGACTTGTCTGATTTATCAGGCTCAGATTCTGAGGATGACTCATGCTTTATCAACAGTATTCATTCTCCTTCCGATAGTTACCTAAATCAGCTCGATGATAACCTAATTGAACAACGTCTTGAACATATCTTTGGCTTTGGATTGACGGGAGACAAACAAGACCCACCTTCTCCCCCTATGCAAACTCAACAGATTTCAACGGATGCCTTACTGACAGTCTTAGATGAAACATCGCATTTCACAAACACACCAAAAACAGACAACAGTCTTTTGCCAACTCACTTAGGTACTGAAACTGAGCAATGTTATGATCAGCCTTCTGACGTTCACACATTTAATGAAGTTCAGCAAAATTTTGATGTCATTGATGCCCCCATGGAAGAGTTTTTGGCAGATGATGGGCAAGAGTCTGAAACTAACAACGAAGTACGCAGAGATCGTTCTCAGCCAAGAGTATGGGAGATAAAATCGGAAACCCATGAAGTTCCTCTTTTCGAAAAACGTTTTAAGCCCAAGGCTAACGATACTCATAAAACATCACCTCTAAGTATTTTTGAGCGGCTTTTTCCTGATGAACTGATGGTAATAATTGTGGAACAAACCAACAGATACGCCCGTCAGAAAAATAGTACTAACTGGAAACCTGTAACTCTACAAGATATTAAGGCGTATCTAGGAGTTTTAATCCTTATGGGCTTAAATCCTTTACCGGACATGGAACTCTACTGGTCATCAGATCCCTTTTATTACAATAAGGAAATTGCCCAGGTTTTCCCAATAGTAAGATTTAAAAAAATTACAGAAAACCTCCACTTAAATGATAACGAGATGGAACCACCAAGAAACTCCCCTGAATATGACAAATTATTTAAATTGAGACCCCTCCTCACAAAACTCAACAAAGTTTATCAAAGAGAGGCATACAATTCAGAAGTACAATCGATTGATGAGTGTATGGTCAAATTTAAAGGGCGCAGCTCCTTAAAGCAATACATGCCGAAAAAACCCATCAAAAGAGGATTTAAGGTATGGGCAAGATGTGACGCCAAAACTGGGTACTTGTACCAATTCGAAGTGTATTCAGGAAAAGGCGACAGCACCGAAAATGAAGGGTTAGGCTACAATGTTGTCATGAAACTCTGCAGTAACGTACCAAGAAACACTTTAATTGCCTTTGACAACTTTTTTACTAGCTGTAACCTCATGGAGGATCTTTACGATAAAAATATTTATGCAGTGGGAACAGTCAGATGCAACAGAAAGGACTTACCTGATATGATAAAAAAAAAACAACCGAAACCATTGCGATTAGATAAACATCAGTTTTCAGCGGTTACTGCAGAGCCAATCACAGCCATTAAATGGCTTGACACAAAGGAAGTTACTGTCCTGACAACAGCACATCAGCCCTTAGACACAAGGATGATAAAAAGAACCCAAAAGGATGGCTCTAGAGCTGACATTCTCTGCCCGGCTGCAATTGCTTCATACACGCTCAGTATGGGCGGAGTAGATCTTTTTGACCATTTTAGATCGTCATACCCTATAAACCGGAAATCCAGGAAATATTGGATGCGACTATTCTTCTTTCTGTTCGATGCATCTATAATTAATGCCTACATAACGTACAACTACTCCCATGTCCCGACCCTGCATGGCCACCGTGATTTCAGACTACGGTTAGCACGTGCCCTTATAGATAATCACACGACACGAAAAACTCACACACAAACAGATGTAGTTTTAAAAAAAAATAAAAAAGGTGGTAGGTTTGGCGTTCCCGATGAGATTCGGCTGCTAAATGTTGGCATACACTTGCCTGAAGAAAGTGCCACTTACAAAAGATGTCGCTTTTGCAGCACAAAGCACAAAGAACAGAGGACAAAAATAGTATGTTCCTCCTGTGGAGTAGCTCTTTGTGCCAAAAACTGTTTCAAAACCTTTCACACAGTTCTTACTCAGTAATGTTATTTTCATATAGTATTTGAAAAGTTCTTAATAAAATATTATTTGTAACATTCTAGTTTCATTTTATTTTTATAATTTTATTCAATCACTCAATCATGTTATATTGAATTTTTTATATAAAAAAAATAAACAAGTAAAGTAGGAGTAAGTAATATGTATAGAATTTGTAGTAAAAATGTCCCAAAAAAATGTAACCATTCCGGATGATGGGAAATAATTTCCCACTTAATTATATTTTGCTTTTCCATACTGGATAATGGGAAATAATTTCCCACCGTAAAACCCCCATTTCCCCTCTTTTTATAAAAAAAATGATGTTTTTTTTGAAATCTACAAAGCCCTTTTACTTAGAAACCATGTTTAATTCATAATTTTATTTAAAAAAAAAATCCATTTGATTAAGGGATAATATAGTATATTGAGATGTACAAATTTCGTAACAATCGATATGCTTTAGATATTTTCAGATGCATTCTTTACTGGAAATTTATGGGGACATTACTGTATGTATATGTATCATGTGTAATGGTGAACGTTCCAATGGCTTCTGGAACTCAAAAGAGATCCAGAATCATTAGTTTATTAAAACTGAACGTGGTATTTATCGGTTTTATATGTTTCGCTAACAGAACACGGAATTCTGAAATATTATTACGGATAAACAACACAGTTGCTATTACATTAATACAATGGGTAGAATTAAGTTCACTTATTTAAATGATAGCTCTGTAAGTGGTGTGAGAAACGGCAACTATATATTTTTGCCTTATCAGGTCCAAGAAAATACAGAGACTGATGAAGAATCCTCAAGAATGAACATTAACACAGAATGCAATTTATCTTCTACTGTTTAATGATATTGTTATCAAATCTGGAAAATCTGATATTGACTTACTTTCAGCGCGTTTGAACGCCATATGTAAAAATTACGTATCGTGGAAGAGGAATAATCCATCCGTTTCAGTGTGACTTCTTTACAATAGATTGGAGTTCATATTACTCTTAGGCATTTCCTTCCTTTATTTTTAAATGTCTTCTATGCAAAATAATAGATGACAAAGCAACTGATATTATAGTAGTACCATATTGGCCAAGTCATCCATTGCTACAATCTTTATTACTTCAAGAACTTATATATTTCCATCCTAATGTAAATTTATTACCATCTCCTTCCACAGACCCTCACCGAAGATGGATGACACGTGGTATTATGTTTGTTATCAGGTCAGCTTTCGCACGATAGAGAAATGATCAATACTATAATATCATCTTTATTGAACAATTCGCTCAAACAGTACAATGTGACTAAAAAAAAAAAAAAAACAACGGTGGATTTTCTGTAAGGAAAGAAACAGAGACCCGTTACAGAGAGATTTACTTTTATTATTAGAATTTCTAACTTATCATTGTAATGATGGTGCCAGTTACTTAATTTTAAACACATATCGCTCTGCACTAGCTTTATTATTTGATAAAACTTTCAGTGGATGTCACATTTTTGTTATACTGTTACATTCTGTTACTATCATAGTTATTTGTTTCTTAAGGAGTGTTCAAATCTAGACCTAGTTTTCCAACATATCAAACCACTTGAGAGCCAAACATAATATTGAACTTTGTATGAAATTTATTCCCGAATGAATCGTTAGCATTACCTTAATTACAAAAAAAAAAATTTTTAATACTTGCATTGTTTTTAGGACAATGTCTTCAAGGATTATTATTGATAAAATTTTCTGATATAGGAGTAGATAATTTAATTGTAAAAATAGGGAGTAAAGATATAATTAAAACGTCAACACCTGGTCAACCAATGCCTTAAATTGCAATTCTTTTTATACTTACCTTGGTCCTGCAAGGACGCTCTTATCGTATATGGAAGCAACAATGGTTAGAGATACGGGCTGAATATAGAACGTCTTTTCCTTACTACTTAAATACCGATCCACAGTTCTTCGACTATGAACAAATGGATTAAAGAGATTCACAGAGAAACACAGTATTCTGCAGCTCATAGACAAGGTGTATCAATGGATCTAATCAAAAACAATGCTGGTTGATCTGGAGAGGGTTTGATATTTGCAGAAATCTATAATCGACCTTTGCCTTCTAATGGTGATGAGAGCATCTTGAAGAAACCGTATATGATTGATTATCCTGTAACATTAATAATTTAAATAATAAAAATATTTTTTCAACTTTCAGATTCTACAGTGTAATAAAATTATCATCTAAATATTATTAACTTTTAATTTGCGTTCTTATTTAGAAATTTCGTAATGTATGTACTCTAAACATCCTACCTGGTGAATATTTAAATCTCGAGGATGCAACGTCGAAGTATAATTAATGGTTAAACAAACTTACCTTTGTGACGTTTGACCATAATTATATAAGACGTTGCATCCGAAGAGATTTATAACCCCCATAGGTACCCAAATCCTTTGTAATGAATACAAAGTCATACACTAGTCTATACATTGAGAAATTTCACTCTAAAAATAATGAAGCAACGGCGGAGTGGTGCGACATATATAGTGCAACTAAGGGAGTCGTTTAAATACTTTTTATTTACTATTGACTCTAAAATTGTGCTTGATGCCCAGTACATTGAAGAGTGGACTACCTGGTGAATATTTAAATCTCGAGGATGCAACGTCTTATATAATTATGGTCAAACGTCACAAAGGTAAGTTTGTTTAACCATTAAATATTTTCTATAAAACTTGTATATATTATGAAATTCTTTGAATAAATCCAACAAATAGTTATAAAATAGTTTTAAAATTAGTTATTTACCAACGAAAGAAGTTTGACAGATGGCCGGTGCACTATTTTAATGTTGATTTTTGCAAATAATACACTATCAAATTGTACACAAACAATAATCGACACTTATTGCACTATTATATCACTAATAACGATGTCGAAAATATAATATTCGTGTGATAGACTATTAAAAATTATTTATTTATTACGGCCAGCTGAAAATGACAACTGTCGTTGGTGTTGCTAGTCGAAGAAAACCAAAAGAAACAAAAGAAAACCGAAGAAATAATCAAAATAACAATAAATAATACGAACTGTACTCTCATATACTACCGAACCTCGAGTATCTATACCTATTAGTAGTGCCCCTGTACTAACTTACTATGATGCAAACAAAAATATTATTATGTCAGTAGATGCATCAAAGGATGCCCTTGGAGCGGTCTTGTCTCATAACAAACAGCCTATACCATATGCATCAGCCTCATTGACTAAATGTCAACAAAACTATGCACAAATAGAGAAAGAATTGTTGTCTATTTTGTTTGGATGCACAAAATTCCACCAATATATATATGGTAGAAATATTACTGTAGAAACTGACCATAAACCTCTTCTAAGTTTGTTTAAAAAAGCCTTACAGGATACACCACCCCGGTTACAAAGAATTATGTTACGATTACAACCATATGATCTCAATATTATCTATAAACCTGGCAAATATCTTTATATTGCAGATACATTGTCCCGAGCACCTCTCTCTGATAATACATTACTAGGTTTAGATAGTGATATTAACATACATGTTAATTTTATTGTATCTAATTTGGCTATTAGTCAAGAAAAAATTAAAGAAATTCAACAATACATAAGTAAAGATTCTACATTAAGTCAAATTCTTTATTATTGTCAGAATGGTTGGCCAGAGCATAAGAGATCAGTCAGTCAGTCAGTCAGACCATATTTTTCATTAAAAGATAAACTATGTGTATTGAATGATATATTAGATAGTGTTTGGGAAACTACTCTGCTACCAAAATTTAGGGAATTTACTCTCTGTATATATATAGTGAAAAATGAGTGGAAGCGTCAGTCCCGTACCTGTATGATTCTGCGGATTTCTTGGGCTTCAGGGTCTCGAAGATATCTTCGCTAGCTTTCCAGTTTCACAGTAGGTTTAACACAGTTCTAATTTATTTTAATTCACAACACAATGCGCGCGCGTCATGGCCGCAGTACAGTCGGTTCAGTACTAGTAAGGGAAGGGAAGGAAAGACGCGGGAACACAAACTAACGGACTCTAATATAATAATCTGTGCTTACGATGATACAGGGTAGATTTTGAACATAGCCCCCGCTCTAAACAGCTATGATGTTTGTAATATATGTGGATACTTAAGTAATTAAAACGCGAGCACTTCCAAAACGACATTTATTTTATGAACACACGATTGACAGAATCTACCCTATTTATTTATTGTTTTATATGTACCTTACACCTCCACCCTTAATTAACAGTCTCAATAAAATATATAATAATAATATGGCTATTACTTAAAAATACAAGACAACAATATTAAATATTAGATAACTTAACCTAAGTAATTAATATGTAAGAATGGACTACAAGTATTATTCTGGATCGAAATTAAATCTTTGAACTGGTTTGCGCACTCTTTTGGGTCGCTGTACTAGTGGTGGAAGTAGTGGATTTGGTAAATGCCTGGAATTCAAGGGTGAACCTTCAATTTCTTTCGGCTGCTGCGCCACCCCCTGCTCACTACTGTCTATTCCACCTCCTTCGTCATTTAGCACTGTTTCTGTACTGTCTGCTACCTTTATATTAGTGGCAGAATTGCTGTTGTTGCTCTCTTTAGTGTTCTCCTCTTCCAACGAACAAGGAACATCAGACATACGTGATCTACGTCGGATCTGATCTATATGTTTTGTGTGTTGTCGACCGTTACTTTCTCTGACCGACATACGACGTGAATCAGAATTACTTACTACAGAACCCTTTTCCCATTTTTGTTGGTTTCTATAATCCCTAAACCAAATAGGATCACCTGGTTCAAAGTGTCGTAATTTACCTCCTGCATAATCGGTTTGATGACGTTGTTGCACCCTAACAGAATCGGTTACCGCTCTCTCGCATCTTAATAAATCTAACCTAGAACGTAATGAACGTCTTTGCAAAATTTGAGCCGGTGTCACCCCTGTAGTTCCGTGTATTGTATTTCTATATGTTAAAAGAAATGTTTGTAACGCTGTATCTATATCCGTTTTGTCAATAATTGCCTTTCTAATGACGTTTTTACATAATTTAACAGAATTCTCTGCGGCCCCGTTAGAGGCAGGGTGATATGCCGGTGAATATCTTTGAAATATACCATTAGTTGCAAGGAAGTTTTTGAACTCACTACTGGTAAATGGTGGTCCCTGATCAGACACAATTTCTACGGGTAACCCAAACCTAGCAAACAATTCTCTTAGTGTTTTTACTACCGCTCCGGCTGTTGTGCGTGTCATTTGAAAGACTTCTAGCCATTTAGATGTCGAATCTATCACAACAAAATACGTTAGTCCATGCAATGGTCCTAAAAAATCTATATGTAATCGTGACCACGGCTGGGGTATGTATGGCCACAATTGTGGTGGCGCCCTCTGGGGCATTGGCATCTCGAGTGCACATGTTGAACAACTACGACACAACTGCTCAATGTCAGCATCAATATTTGGCCACCATACATAACTACGAGCCCATGATTTAGTTTTTACAATGCCCATGTGACTACTGTGTAATTGTTGAAGTATTTGTGGCCGCAACGACATAGGAATTATTATTCTATATCCCCACATTAGACAGTTGTTTTCACAATAAATTTCATTACGTCTTACAAAGTACGACTTTAATGTTTCATCCGTACATTGGTTTGGCCACCCTGCTTGAGTATATATTAGAAGTCGACTCGATATAGTGTCAGCGGCCGTCGCCTTCCTAACGTCGTTATGAGTTACTGGTAAGAAATTTTCTACAAAATTCAAATAGGTAATTTCGTTCACCGGACTAACTTCACTATAACAGAGTGGTAGCCGCGACAGAGCATCCGCGTTATTTTTAGCGGATGGTACATATTCTATATTGTAAGTATACCCGGACAGTAACACCCCCCATCGTTGCATACGACTTGCAGCCATGATTGGTATGCCCGCCTTGCTACCAAATATTGAAGTTAATGGTTTATGATCGGTTCTCAAGGTGAAATGCCTACCATATAAGTATTGGTGAAACTTCTTTACACCATAGATAATAGCCAGAGCCTCTCGCTCAATTTGTGAATATGCCCGCTCGGCTTTTGTTAGCGAGCGCGATGCATAAGCTATGGGGCGTTCTCCATGCTGTGTCGTGTGTGTAATGACCGCGCCGACACCTAAACTACTTGCATCCGTCGTTAAGATTAAAGGCAAATCAGGCGAATAATGCACTAATACTTCACTCGATATTAATAACCGCTTTACCTCCCGAAAAGCCTTATCACAATTTTCCGTCCATACGAATCGAACCCCTGACCGTAATAACTCATATAACGGAGCTAAAATGAAACTTATATTCCTAACAAATTTACCGTAATACATTACCATACCTAAGAGTGATCGTAATTCGCTTACGTTTGTGGGTGCCGGGGTGTTCGTTATAGCTTTGACCTTGTCAGGACAAGTATGAACTCCCTTTTTTGAGACAACATATCCTAAATAAGTAACTGATTCAGCAAAAAAACTGCATTTTTCTTTTTTTACTTTAAGACCACTAGATTTCAATATCTCGAAAACTTTGCACAGATTTTCAAAGTGTGAGTGACTATCCCTACCACTAATAATAATATCATCCAGGAATACCCCTACAAATGGTATATGCCCAAACAATTGTTCTAACTTCCTTTGAAATATTCCCGGACTAGACGCGAGACCATACACTAATCGATTATATCGAAACAGGCCTTTATGCGTATTAATCACTGTGCAATTACAAGTATCATCCAGTACAAACTGCGCATAGGCTTGAGATAAATCTATTTTTGAAAAATATTCCCCACCATGTAACCGCGGGAGTAAATCCTCCACTCTAGGCAAAGGGTAACGATCGACATCCAACACTTTATTTAAAGTTAATTTGTAATCAGCGCATATTCTGATGTTACCATCTTTCTTGACCACTGGCACGATGGGCGTAGCCCAGTCGGAGCGGTCGACAGGAGTGAGCACGCCATCGCTCACTAGCTGCTCCAGCGCGCGCTCCACAGGCTCGCGCAGCGCGTATGCGAGCGGCCGCGCTCGCATAAACACCGGCCGCGCCCCCTCGCGCAAATGTATGCTCACCCTACCACCAGTAAAGCGACCCAATTCGTCTGCAAACACTTCACTGTATCTGGAAGTAAATTGACTATAATTAAAATTATTGCAAGATACGTTGTGTATATTGTAACCATTATCGGGTGGTGGTATGGTTATGCCTAACTGTATTATCCATTGTCTGCCCAATAAAACAGTTTTACCCTTATAAATTACATATAAATTTAAATATTTTTTTCTATTTTTATATTCAACGAGTGGTTTTATGACACCCGCCGGTCGTATTGTTTCACCTGTATAATATCTTAATAATAAATTACATTTTTCTAACCTTATCTCACTAAAATATTTTAGGTATGTTTCGTAACTTATGCATGACACGGCACTACCTGTGTCACATTCCATTTGTATACTTTTGTTTTGAATACTCAATGTCACATAAATTGGTGGGAAATGATCTAATGATAACTGATTAATAGTCAGTACCTCGTTCCTGTCATAGCTCTTAGTTTCCACGGCCTCCTCGATGTAGTTGTGTCCATTATTCAGTAACGGACAAACTCGTCGTAAGTGTCCCGCCTTGTTGCATACCCGACAAACATAACGGACAAATCTAGTCAAGTAGCCGCTTCGTGATCGCCGCCACATGCTTGACACTGTCGTCGCCAGCCCCGCCTGTCTGCCACGGCCGCGACAGCCGCGCGCGCCGTGCCCCTGCTCCCGCTCTGGCTGTGACCCGGCCGAACCAGCCGACCCGGCCGACCCGGCCGCCCCGGCCAGTTGCCTGCTTCAGCTGTAGTCTTATACGATCCTCGTTCACCCCCGTTCACCTCCGTTATCTTCTGACACTCCGCTGACATCATTTTTGACCCGCTATGCCCTTCAGTCAAGGCCGCATCTTTCTCCGCTGCCTCCATACTCCATGCTAAACTGCATGCTTTATTAAAATCTAATTTATCTTCTGCAAACAGCCGTTGCCTTATCGTTTCGCTCGCTAATCCACATACTAATCGATCGCGGAGACTCTCATTCAGCCATTGTCCAAAGTCACATGTTCTGGACATCTTCTTTAATTCTGCTATGTAATCTGATATCTTCTCGTCTTTCATTTGTTTCCTTTGGTGAAATTTGTAACGCTCAGCCAATATACTTGGGCGTGGTTGCAAATGTTTTTCCATGATCACTGCCAACTCATCAAATGAATTACTTGTGGGTTTATCTGGGGTGCACAGGTTTACTATGAGCTCATAACTTCTGGCCCCCATCACTGTCACTAGCGTCGGTACTTGCATTTCCCTACTAATGTTATTGACGATAAAATATTGTTCTAATCGTTCCACATATAAACGCCAATTGTCCGTTTCTATATCGAATTCCGATATCTTCCCGACCGACATTGTTTATTTATTTATTTATTTAACGCACTTACTCACTATTAAAATACACGTAAGTTCGATATTTCCTCGTCGCCAATGTTATATATGTGGATACTTAAGTAATTAAAACGCGAGCACTTCCAAAACGACATTTATTTTATGAACACACGATTGACAGAATCTACCCTATTTATTTATTGTTTTATATGTACCTTACAATGTTTACGGAACAAATTATCAAAATTAAGGGAAAAATTACAAGGTAAAGGGGCTATACAATATATTACTCAATAGGGAGGTGTACCAGTTTTGTAAGAGAACGTTTTAAGGAACCAGTAGAGGTTTTGACCTCGACCACTCGAATTACACCGTCTTGACCAGGATAACTGTACTATACGTCCGCGGCGCCACTCCAAAGGAGAGAGGTTGTCATCCTTTATCAAAACCAATTCATCAACATTAGGAGGATTCATAGGAGAAGTCCACTTATTACGAGTTTGAAGGGTTGATAGGTGCTCTGAATGCCACCGCGACCAAAAATGTTGAGTAACTTGTTGCAACAAGTGAAAGCGTGAAATGCGATGCTGCTTCTCGTCTCTCAATGGGCACTGGTTTATAAAAGGAGGGGTCCGCTACGGAAAGGTGATTAATACTATTAACGACAGGCCTAGGCAACTCAATCTCAGGATGGGGGCCTGCAATTACATCAACAACCACTGCAGGGGTTGTTATCACAGGATACGATCTATGTACTGGTTTAAAGGTAAGGGAGATAGAACCGCTGGAATATACAGATTGAATGTTGCCAATACCGCGAATAGGTACTGAGTTTGATGATAAGGGGACATTCAATCTCTCAACAGTTAAGTCGGTAGTAAGCAGACAACCTTGTGCGCCTGTATCACATAACGCACGGGCCGCGTATCACTGGCGCACGGAGCGACGTTCCATGTGGGAGGCACCCGCTGGCCACGAGATTGGAGCGCGGAGGTCCGACTTTCGGCGGATCCTCAGGATCAGGTGGAGAGAAAGGCTGGCCAGTCCATCGGCCGGCCTGAGGACCGTCGAGGCTGTCCGTCCCATCCTCAAAAGGTGGATGAATAGGCGATGGCCACTGACGTACCGCATGACACAGATACTGTCCGGGCACGGGTGCTTCGGGCGGTATCTGTGTCATGTGGCGAGGAAGGAGCCGACGACCGGCTGCCACGAGTGCGGAGGTGTGGAGGACACGGCGCTTGACACGCTGGTCGTATGTCCAGCGTTCGAGAGTGAGCGCCGTGTCCTCACACGAATAGTGGGGGACGATCTCTCGCTGCCGAATTTAGTTCGGAGGATGATCAGTAGCGAGAGATCGTGGCTGGCGGTGAGCTCCTTCTGCGAGGAAGTTATCTCGCGGAAGGAGGCGGCGGAAAGGGAGCGGGAGTCAGATCGTCCCGCTTCCCTCCGCTGCAGAAGAGCCAGGCCTAGAGGTGGGGGCGTACCCAACTCCGCCCCCCTCTATCCCCCACTGGGGCCGGGGTGACTGCCTTGAGGGAGGCAGTCCCCCCAATCCAAAGGCCCCGGAGGTGTGCGCGTGTACCCACACGCCTCCACAATGGAGTAGGGCGAAATAGGTCGCCCTAACCACAAAACGAGATGGGGCCTGCCCTACAACATCTACAGGGCGGGCCGTCGCCGTCGGAACTGGGGTAGAAATGCACTTGCGAATCCTCTGGCTCCGGCATAGGCGCTCGTAGGTACACCGTGTGGTTTTTGGTGAGTACAAATCTCACACACCACCTCGCCATCCCTCCGGCGGGGTGACGGTCTTTTGAAGATTTTTCCACACGTTAAAAAAAAAAAAAAGGTTAGAGTTTAATGATCACCTGTCCGTCCCATCCTCAAAAGGTGGATGAATAGGAGATGGCCACTGACGTACCGCATGATACAGATACTGTCTGGGCACGGGTGCTTCGGGCGGTATCTGTGTCATGTGGCGAGGAAGGAGCCGACGACCGGCTGCCACGAGTGCGGAGGTGTAGAGGACACGGCGCAACACACGCTGGAAATATGTCCAGCGTTTGAGAGTGAGCGCCGAGTCCTCACACGAATAGTGGGGGACAATCTCTCGCTGCCGAATTTAGTTCGGAGGATGGTGAGTAGCGAGAGTAGAGTTTAATGATCACACAAAAAAAACTGGAGCGATGGTCACCAATGCAAAAAGCGTCCTACCTTAAAATTGTCAAAAAATCATAAAAAAACTATGACGAATCGCAACCCCCCCTTCAAGGGGGGGGTCCCTCCCCAAAGGGGATTCCCCACAGTAAGGGTATCCCCGCCCCTCCCAAAATTTATTATTTATTATTATTTCTTTCTTCTTTCTTCTTTCTAAAGTCCTACCCCTAATGAACTTACTAAAAAAAAATACGTAGTCAAGTATGTCGCTAGTAGGGTTCATGATTTCTCGAGCTTTTCAATTTCTCGGGTCTTCTCAGCAACGCGAGAAGACCCGAAAAAAGAGAGAATTTACATTTACATACATTTTCTCATATTATTTGCTTCCAATAACGTCATAAAATCAGTGGTTTTCCTCTCAAATAAAAGTATCAAATTAATTATAAAACTTATTCAGTATATTTAAAAACATTATACATATTATGAATAAGCAAATTTTTTTTTTTTTACATACAGAAATATTTTAGGTCTTTACATATGAAATTAGCGTTTTGTTGTACTGGCCACTTCGATCTCTTTGGTTAGGAGTTCCAATTTAAAATTTATACGACTATTCACTCATGCATATGTTTTTCGAAAACCGTAATCCATATGGCTTTTCTATCTTTGGTTTTTCTTTGGGGAACTCACTTTGCAAAGTGGAAAACTTAATATATCGCGACCACACGTGGTTGTTCGAGTATATTTGCTGTCGCCGTCTTGGTACACTTGAAGGTACTGCCCTGTCCATTTTAGGGTTGCGTGTAGATTGCGATGACCACCCCCGTATCTATGCATGCTTATACAGGTCCCATAGCGGTAACACCGAAACTGACCGACTCATTGAACACGTCCAAATGGCTAGCGCCCAACACACAAGCGCCCGTCAACAGTGCATTAGATATGCTTATTAGCCTGTTGACGGAGCTGCTGCTCGCGCTCGCAGCCGGCGTGGACATAAAGTCGGCGGCGACAAAAGGATTGGCCAAAATAAACCAATACACGAATGGCCAGTAGCGAGCTACGCATCGTGTATTGGAACCCCGGGGGAGTGAGAGACAAGATCCAGGACCTCCGTCTCCTAGCTCACACCCAGGACGTACACATTATACTCCTGGGTGAAACGAAGCTGACAGAAAAGGAGACGTTGAGGGTGCCTAATTATCACGTGTACAGACGCGACGAAAGGTCACCGGCGGGCAAAGGGTACCGCGGCACAGCGGTACTAGTCCGCCGCGACGTAGTACACGTGGAATTAGAGCGCCCCGAGTTCCGCGTCATGCGCACCATAGGCGTGCGCATCAATGTCGACGGCGCGGAACTGAAGGTCCTGGCAGCGTATCGCCCCCCGGTGCCTGAATTTTGCCCCTCCGATATCCGGAACGTACTGGATGGGAGGAGCCCTACCCTGCTAATGGGCGACCTCAACGCGAAACACACGGCTTGGGGTTCCCGTCTTGTTTCGCGGGTAGGTCGAAGGCTCCTCCAGGATTCCCAAATCCACGGGTACGAGGTGTTGGGCCCTGCACACCCCACCCACGTACCCACGAACCCGAGACACAACCCAGACGTTCTGGATATAGCCCTGGTACAGGCTGTGCCCTGCCCGGTGACATTGGAGGTGCTGTACGACCTCGATACGCAGCACCTCCCTGTCCTAGCCACGCTTGACCTCTCCACCACCACCACATCGACGAGACCGTCGAGGCGGCTGATGGATTGTCGAGTTTTTCGCGCAGAACTGGAGCACTTGCACCTCGACGGCGACCTATCAACGCCCGAGGACATAGAGGCCGCCTCCGTCTTCATGACGGAGCGAATTCGCTCCGCCACTGAGGCGGCCACTACCACCGTAAACGTGGCTTCTCGCCGTCGAGAGGAGCTGCCATACCATCTGCGCGAAAAACTGGCGCGAAAGAGAGATCTCCGCCGCCTATGGGCTCGCACCCGCTGCCCGCGGGTCAAGCGTGAGCTCAACTGCCTGGCTGCGGAGCTGTCGGAAGGGATGCGGGACTGGCGTGGCTCCTCCTGGGAGGCCGTCATCTTCCGGGCGGACGAACACGCCACCACCCTGCACGCACTCAACCGACAGCTCACCAACGCACGACCCCCCGTCTGCCCGTTGCTAGACGAGACGGGCAGACGTTGTTACGCAGCTCAGGACCGGGCAGAAATCCTGGCACAGCACCTGGAGGGGCAATTTACGGCCAATCCCGTCGCCGCCGACGCACCACGCACTGTCGTCGAGCACCACGAGCGAGTCGTACGTCGCGTATGCGAGTTCCGTACCGCTCCGTCGCCGGACGTAAACGAGGTGAGCTTCGTTTCGCCCGGCGAGGTAAGGCGGCTCGTCAGCCGCCTGCCGAAGCGCAAAGCGCCCGGAGCGGACGGGATCAGCACCGCAGCGCTCGCACAGCTGCCCCGTAGAGCCCTAGTATGTCTAGTGAGGCTCTACAACGGCATACTCCGGACCGGCCACTTCCCCAACAGCTGGAAGTTGGGTAGAGTCATAGTCCTCCCGAAAGCCGGCAAGGACAAACGTCTGCCGGCAAGCTACCGGCCCATCACTCTGCTCTCGCACGTAGCAAAGTCGTTCGAGCGCCTTCTGCTCCGCCGCTTGAAACCGACCCTGTCGCCTCGCGACGAACAGTTCGGTTTCAGAGGCGGACACTCGACGACTTTGCAGCTGACGCGCGTGCTCCACCACATGGCTGTCGAGCACAACCGCGGCATGACGGTTTGGTGTCGAAATTGCTCGACACCAACACGCCGTCAGCATACGTGCGAGTAGTGGACGCTTTCCTCTCGGGCCGGAGCTTTTACGT